AATTGGTTTTACTTCACACTGTCTTGATCAAGAGTGTGTGAAGCTTTTGAGAGTTGTGCTTGTCCTCCATTGATGAAGCTCTTGTTGGCACCATAAATTGGTTTTGCTTCACTCTGTCTTGATCAAGAGTGTGTGAAGCTTTTGAGAATTGTAATTGCCCTTCATTGATGAAGCTTTTGTTGGCACCATAAATTGGTTTTGCTTCACACTGTCTTGATCAAGAGTGTGTGAAGCTTTTGAGAGTTGTGGTTGAACTCCTTTGATGAAGCTCTTGTTAGCACCATAAATTGGTTTTACTTCACACTGTCTTGATCAGCGAGGACTTTGGTACAATAGAAAGTGTTAAGTTTGTGACCTTCGCTAGATTGCTCCGGTCACTAGTGTGGATAAGTAAGTAAATGGATAGGGATAGGGAAACAAACACAAGATGTACGTGGTTCACCCAGATTGGCTACGTCCACGGAGTAGAGGAGTTCTCATTAATTGTGGGTTTACACAAGTACATAGGTTCAAGCTCTCCTTTAGTGAGTACTAGTGAATGATTTAGTACAAATGACATTAGGAAATATTGTGAGAGAATGATCTCTATTTATATAAGAGAGTTTCTAGTTTCATTCTGACATTGACACGTGTCGTGTTGTGATTGGCTTTTGATGTTGACACATATCGTGCTATGATTGGCTTCTGATGTCGACACGTGTCGCGCTGTGATTGGCCTCCTGGTTGGAAGGAAACTCTTCTGGGTCCTTGACGGTATAACGTTGACCGATGCTCAGTAGTTTCGGGATTGGTCAAGTATGGTACAAACAAAATTCTTCCATTTTTTTCAATTTCACACAACCACTCCAGTTTCCATACCAATATCGTACATCAGTCCAACTTGCTGTCAAGATCAAGTTAAATCCTGACATGGCGCATGTGAGGTCTACTTCGGGGCAGCAGGGATAGAGCCAGAAATTTCTTCTAGTGGGAGCAACTGAAAACAACTAAGAAAACCTTATTATAGTATGGTTATACGCAATATGATATTATGGATGATTTCAAATGATGATGTATTACAATTCCAATGTTACAAAAATTTCAATATAGTAGTGGAAAGTGGCAAAGTGATGAGAAAAATATAAGTACATGATACGTGGGAGAGGGTTTTTTCGGTTTGAATATATGACAAAACAAGAGCACTATTGCTCATATAATATTTGATATGGAGTATAAGTAGAATGAATGTATGTTGGATATTAAATACATATATTTTCTTCAAAGATAACCCGTATATATTATATAATTGTAGTCTGTAACTAAATAAACGAATTACTTGAGTGGGTGCATTTATGACATCCCACATCGCCTAGGAGGGTGATCCTTAAATGTATATTCTCATCCTTACCTAGCATGAGGCATTTTGGGAGCTCACTGACTTCGGGTTCCGTAGGAACTCTGAAGTTAAGCAAGAAGGTGGTCAGAGCACTCCCATGATGGGTGACCCATTGGGAAGTTGCTTGTGAGTTCCCAGAAACAAAACCGTGAGGGCGTGGTCGGGGCCCAAAGAGGACAATATCGTGCTACGGTGGTGGAGCGGGCCCAGGAAGTGGTCCGCCCCAAGCCAAGATGTGACAAATACCCAAGCCTGGATGTGACAAATGGTATCAGAGCCAATCCCTGGCCAGAAGTGTGCCGACGAGGACGTCGGGCCCCTAAAGGGGGTGGATTGTGACATCCCACATCGCCCAGGAGAGTGATCCTTAAATGTATATTCTCATCCCTACCTAGCACAAGGCATTTTGGGAGATCACTGGCTTCAGGTTCCGTAGGAACTCCGAAGTTAAGCGAGAAGGTGGCCAGAGCACTCCCATGAGTGGTGACCCACTGGGAAGTTGCTCGTGAGTTCCCAGAAACAAAACCGTGAGGGCGTGGTCGGGGCCCAAAGCAGACAATATCGTGCTACGGTGGTGGAGCGGGCTCGGGAAGTGGTCTGCCCCGGGTCGAGATGTGACAGCATCTGCCCCCAGTGAGCCTTCATTGGCTCCGTCCATGAGGGGCAGGGTTTCCCGCCAAATTTCAAAACGCCAACAAAAACTCACGTAAATTCAAATATGACCCTATGATGCGGTTGTTGATGATTGGATTCGTAATTACCGTTCTTTAAGGCAAGTTTACTTGTAAAGAATGAGTACTTAGTTACTGAACCCTGATGAACGAATAAAAAGTGGGATTTACATGAATTTTAGTATGGCACGCCTGATCATTAAAGGTATCCCATTATCATAAGAAAGGTGTTTATCTCATACTGGATCTTCCTCATCTCCAATTCTTCTTATTCCATTCCTCTTATTCCCATTCCTTATCATACCCATACTATGCAAGTAAACATTGTAACAATTTTATGGATCTCAAGTTCTCAATTATGCCTATCTCAACTAGTTGACTGCTATTTTGTACCTACAGAATTCCTAAATTAATAATGCATTATTAATGTAACTAGAATCCAAACATGCCCTTCCAATTATGCACTTTCCCCATCTTATATACAAACCTGACCTGGAGTGTGGCTTTCGTTTTTGCCTTTATGGACTGGGATCTCTTCCATCCATAATTCGTAGAAGCTTCGACTACCTACTTGCTCATATTTGGTATTTTTACCGTTTATTACTACGGTCTAGTGGTATTCCTCTTCACTTGTAAGTGAAAGATCTTAGGTTCAATTCTCGCCAAAGGCGAATTTGAATCACATTATTGATAGTCCATTGTGAGGCTTAGCCCACCCTCCCACCTTGTCTGTTAAAAAAAATTTCATTTTACATTACATAAAAAAAGGACAAATTGGATATAGTTCATCTCTTCGATAAGAAATAAAGGAAAAAGAATCTGGATATATACACCGTATATATTTTGGAAAATTAAGCCATGCGACCCAGATAATACTGTGATGCATTCACTGGAATGACAGAGCAGCACAAGTAGTTCATGCAGATGTATGCATGTGTACATGTGATTCATATCCCTTGTCCCATCCGATTATTTAGCAATTGTTAAAAAGTCTTTAATTTAATGGCATTGGTCATTGCTTATTTGGAGGGCCTAAGTTTTCGCTCACATATATAGCAAAGACAATATACATGCATGCATACATACATACATACATATATATGTATGTGCATATGTGTGTGTGATGAGTTCCATAATGACTAATTGTTGGTCTTATATAACTTTGTTATGACATTGTAGATGCATTTTAAGGTCCTTGAAATCTTGTTTTTTATCCAACAAAAAAAAACAATAAACATTTCGTTGAATTATCATAGACTATTTATACAGAAAAAGACTAGTAACTAATGTAATCTCCATAAGTTTATGGGTCCTCCTAGCCTCTACAACACAGATCAAATTTTCGCACTTAGATTACAACAATATGTTTTATGCCTAAAAATGAAAAAAATAAATAAATAATTGTAGATCGATGCATGTTGCAGCATTAGTTAAGTACCACTAGCTACAATCTTTCAATTATTTTTTCTCTATGCCGACTTTGTTATGAACATGCCATGATATGGGAGTGAGAGAAGTGGATGCATTCATCCATATAGCACTGACTGTGCATTCAATTTCCCCATAAGTGATATAGTTAATATTTTATACCTTCAGATTTCGTAAATTAATAATGCATTATTAATCTAACTAGAATCCAAACTTGCCCTTCCAATTATGCACTTTCCCCATCTTATATACAAACCTGACCTGGAGTGTGGCTTTCGTTTTTGCCTTTATGGACTGGGTCCTCTACAACAACCGTGCTTAGTCTCTCCCCCTTCATAATGGTTTTCCTTTTATTATTTAGAAAGGAAGGAAGAAGAGAGGGAGGAGGTGAGTTTGAGATGATAAATCTTATACTTTTTTTCGATTTTAGTTTATAGCAAGTTCTGAATGATAATTGAGTGTCATTCAAAAAAATCAGTGGCAAGTTAAGTCCTGCATAAGTTTTTCTTCAATTCTAGCTAAGTTATTGAACCCTGATGAACAAATAAAAAGTGGGATTCACATGAATTTTAGTATGGCACACCTGATCATTAAAGGTATCCCATTATCATAAGAGAGGTGTTTATCTCATACTGGATCTTCCTCATCTCTAATTCTTCTTATTCCATTCCTCTTATTCCCATTCCTTATCATACCCATACTATGCAAGTAAACATTGTAACAATTTTATGGATCTCAAGTTCTCAATTATGCCTATCTCAACTAGTTGACTGCTATTTTGTACCTCCAGAATTCCTAAATTAATAATGCATTATTAATCCAACTAGATCGATGCATGTTGCAGCATTAGTTAATAAGTACCACTAGCTACAATTTTTTAATTATTTTTTCTCTATGCCGACTTTGTTATGAACATGCCATGATATGGGAGTGAGAGAAGTGGATGCATTTATATGCATATAGCACTGACTGTGCATTCAATTTCCCCATAAGTGATGTAGAATAATATTTGGCTCTTTAAAAGTTGAGTAGGATTTCTCCTCAAAATTGTTCGTTGTCGATTTATAAAATTTCATGTATGATCAGAATCGTTTGTATTATAAGATCGTCTCTGCAAAAAATCAATTAAACTGTAAAAATTAGATAAACGGAATTGAAAAAAGTATTATGAATCGTCTATGTATTTGTTACAATTGATTGACTAAACGACCTTATTTTTTACTTTTTATAGAGATAATCTTTACGGAGTGATTCATAATATGAACGGTTCTGATTATAAGCATAAAACTTTGTAATTTGAACACTAAGAATTTTAAGTAAGAGTTCCTACTTATCATTGGGTAGCCAAAGTTCAGTTGTGTGTACGAGGGTTTGGTCTCAAATGGTGACCTTAAGACAAAATATTGGAGGCTTTTGGCTAAGCCAAAGTCAAACTTCAAGACTTGACCTAGTGAAACCATTTGCGATGACTTTCTTAAGCTTATAAATATCCAGAAAGCTAGGCCCATGAGTCTTCATCCTAAACCATCGAAGCTTTCTTATGCACCATATTTCAAACAGTTAAATCATCGTTTGATTCCTGCACTGGGAAAGAGAGAAAAACACACCGCTGATTAATTAACTACCGGTCTGTTGAGGTTGAGGAAGAGCTAGATCGAGCTTGAAGAAGATCGATATATGGAGATGGATAGCACATATTATAGTCCTAGCGATAAGGATGATCACCAGTATACTGATGATGAAGATGATGTCCAACTACCAGGATTTCGGTTTCACCCAACAGATGAAGAACTTGTAGACTTCTATCTTCGTCGGAAGATTCAGAAGAAGCCGATAAGCTTAGAGCTCATCAAATCAATTGATATCTACAAGCATGATCCTTGGGATCTTCCAAGTATGAACATATATATGCCCTTATTAATTTATTTTTGATAAAGTTCTAGTTAATGTTTGCTATTTTCTCTTTAAATCTCTCGTACTTGGAAAAGAAAGTAGAAGAGAAGAAGTTGGCTTGGGTTAATTGCTCCAAAAACTCAAAAGATGCTGAGCAAAAAGTGGCCTATAATATATATGAAAACTAATGAAAATGGCTTGAAACTTTGAGTTTTAACGATAAGGACAAAATAAAGAGTAAAGTGAATAGTACCATGATTCACTTTTTAGTGTAAAAATATGATTTTTCATTAAAGTAAACAGTACCGGAAGCTTTTCGTTAAAGTTCCCATAATATATTGGTTGCACTATTTCCCAGTACTAGTTCTTAAATTTAACTACTACAGTTATACTATAAAAAAATGTTACTAATAGTTTATGATCAGCAAAAAATTTCTGTAATACTTTAGTTTACATGTAAGCTTAACTTTATTAAGTTCAGCTAGGTAGCTTCAAGCATAAAATTTTTCGGATACAAATATATACGGGTTAACTGTAATTTGTGATTAACGTTAGTATTTATGTGTGCAGAAGCCGCAGGAGATAAGGAATGGTACTTCTTCTGCAAAAGAGGGAGAAAGTACAAGAACAGCATCAGACCCAACAGAGTAACAGGCTCTGGATTTTGGAAGGCAACTGGAATCGACAAGCCAATACATTCCCACAGAGGAGAAGGCCATGACTGCATTGGCCTAAAGAAAACATTGGTTTACTACCGTGGAAGTGCAGGCAAAGGCAGCAAAACCGATTGGATGATGCACGAGTTTCGCCTTCCTAATCCTTCCAGTTTGAATGAATACAAGAACCGAAGCTCTAACACTAAGAATATGAATACTGATCCTCAACAAGAAGCTGTAAGTGAAAAATCTGAATAGTTGTAATTTTTTCGACCCTTTTTCATTTACAAATTAAAAATTTTGTTCATGCTGGGAAACACTTTCTCTCGAGACTTGTATTGTCAAACTGCAAACATGAAGCGTAGAATTTAGGCAAAAATCAACATGATCAATAGTTCAGATTCACAGTTTAATTGTGATAATTTTACCTAACTATGTATAATTACAAGTGAGTTCAAGAAAATTTCTGAAATTAACATTAGTAATAAACCAGTAATTAGTTATGTCCATATATACGTGACAAACCCTGAATCTAAAAATAAAAATTTCATTTTTCCCTTTCCGTTTGACCATATATAAAGGCTTATGTTTTGATGAATGTCATGGTTTCACTTGTATCAGGAAATATGGACACTGTGTCGGATATTCAAGAGAAATGTTTCCTACAAAAAGTACACCCCAGATTGGAGATATCTATCTGCAGCTAAACGTCATCCAACGGACACCGTAAACTCCAAAAGTTTCACTACCGATCAAAAAGATCATCTCGATCAATCTAACACTTACATCAGCTTCGGTGCTTCAGACATTTGCTACGAGGAGAAGAAGCCTGTTGTGAATCATACCAACAATACTAACAACATTATTGATGGAAGTCACCAGTTGCATCCGCATGCAGTAGGCCAGTTGAGCTCCAACATGCAGCAGCCTGCTTCAACGCATCCGTACATGGAAACGTTCTCAAATTTTTCGTTTCAAGATCTTGAGGACGATCTTTTGAATGAAAATTGGGATGAGCTTAGATCAGTCGTACAACAGCTTGCTTTTGATCCGACGGCGTTTCTTGTGTAAATGAATTCATATATAGTGCAGTGTGTAAGTGTACTAGTAGGAGTTCATGTTTGGTTCATTAGTGTTTTAACTTTTTTTTTCGTTGACCTTTTCACTCCTAGACAGTCTAAGACCATTCAGTTCATGTTATGGTGGTTATGTATATGGTTTTCTAAATAATTTTGTTGTTTCTTTGTCTACAAAATTTGGATGTTCTAAATATTGTATTTATATATCTATTTAGGATCTAGTGCACACGCATGCAATCGAGAAGAAGAAGAAAAATGGTAAAGTCCCTCGTGGGCTGCTGCAAATTAATAAAGGAAAATGTTATGTAGATTATATTTTTGTATCATATTTGTGTACCATTTGACGTGATAAGTGATGTGTACATGTCATGTTAATTAACGAATTTATCTGATTGATTATTGATTTTATTCCATATAAAATAAGTAAAATAATGTAATATAGATATGTGATGTCTCTAGCATTACTCGCAAAGAAAATGAGCTTAGTTGTTTTTATGCCACTTGAAAACTCAACATTAAAAAAACCTTTATATTTTTTTTCTATTTTAGGTAAACTTATATTTGTTTATATAACATATATAAAATGCAAGAGCTTAATATAAGGATGAAGAAGGGGCGGAGTTAAAAACTTAAATTATGTGGTATTAGAGTATTTTGCTTTGTATTCAAACAATTGAAATACTTTATTTTCTAAATAAAAAACCATGGTACGAGTTCGATCCCTACCTATTTTTTTTCTCCCAAAACAATTAACTATTTAACACACGTGTTAAGAAAAAAAGTAAGAGGGGCTTATGCCTCCACTAGTCTCTCAATGTCCCAGCCACTCGCCTTAATGTCTTATTTTATGTTCAACATTTAACAAATTCAAACCTTGACCAATTTAAGCTCCGAGTCATGGATGAACTATACAAGTTTATAAACAATACACACAAATTGTTTGACTAAATATGATTTATTTCTTAGTTGTTATTGAGTTCTATTGACTATTAGCTTAAGTCTAAAAAGAGATTGTGTGAAACTTTGGTGGCTTTCCTCTTTTGTTTTTGCTAATTCTGTTCGAGGAGAAAAAGTTATGTGTCATTTGTTAAACATTAAATTTAATTTTTATTTGAAAATTTTCAAAATATTAAAATATATAAAAACTAAAAGCTTATTTAAAACTAAAAGATACAAAAATGAATCCATCTCCATCCGCACACTCACTACTGAGGATCCATTAGTTAAAGATTCGCTCCATAAGTGAATTTTTCTTCTTATTCCCTCTACAACAACCGTGCTTAGTCTCTCCCCCTTCATAATGGTTTTCCTTTTATTATTTAGAAAGGAAGGAAGGAGAGAGGGAGGAGGTGAGTTTGAGATGATAAATCTTTTACTTTTTTCGATTTTAGTTTATAGCAAGTTCTGAATGATAATTGAGTGTCATTCAAAAAAATCAGTGGCAAGTTAAGTCCTGCATAAGTTTTTCTTCAATTTGAGAGGCACAAATTACCATCACTACGGGCAGAAGGATTATTTTATTAGATGTTATCTTCCAAAAGCATGAAATTACATAGCGTGAATGAGTTTTGGTGATACTGGTTTGGGGGGTTTGGTTGGGGGTGGACTTTGGAGAAATAATTAGGTAATACTGTAACCATTTTACTCACAGCTAGATTTAAAATTTATTTTAAGGAATTAAAAATAAATTATATACTTAAATAATATTCCGGCGACTACCCTCCATCCCCGACAAATTACCATCCATCCTCAGCCTCCACAGCTCCAACCCCACTTGACTGGTATTAGTCGCCATGGTTGTCGACTTTCCCTTTCTTCTTTCCCTTTCTTTTCCTTCCAAGGCTCCAATCCACTTGCCTGCTTGCCATGGTTTTCACGGGATTTTAAAATCCCCCAAATCCCTCCCTCCCAGGCTCTACCAGTTCTCTCTGCAACTCCCATCTCCTCTGCCTGCAAGCAAGCAGCGCCAAACCCCAAAAACCCAGCCAGTTATCACTATTCACACCCACCACAAACCTAGCAAATCTGGTACCACGGAATTACAGTTTTGAACACTGACCCACGAAGCAATGGCCCGGAAAGACATTGAAGCTAGTGACCTACCTGCATGGCGACCTTGACCTCACGATCATCAAAGACCCCCACCTCCCCACTATGTTTTCCAAGCGCTTCCGCCGCTGCTTCAGCACCTGCGATACCATCAATATAATTTAGGGTAAATCTCAGTTTACTACTCTCAAGTTTCGTGCTTTTCAACATTTGGTACATGAAGTTTTTTTCGTCCCAAAATCATACCTAAAATTTTAATTATGGGACTGTCTCATACATCCGTTAGTTTGATTATTAAATCATCTGTTAACTGATGACGACCGAACACCACATGTCAATATGAGGTCCATGTGAATATTAAAAAATTAAAATATAAAAAAAAAAATCAAGGAACCCACTCATTCCCCCATCCTCCCGACCCCCTCCCTTCTTCTCCCTCCCTTCTTTCCCTCCCTTCTTTTCCCTACACCCATCCTCCCCGCACACCCACCAATTCCCCTCATTCTCCCTCCCTTCTCTCCTCTGCACCCACCCTCCCCGCTAACCCACCCATCTGCCCTCTCTCTCTCCGACCCTGCGAGACTCGAGGGAAACTTCACTCCTCCACCATGCTTCCAGAACCATTCGATTCCATCACTTTATCTACATTTCCAACTTCACTCTCCGTACTAACCCTAGCCCTATCCTCCTCAGATCTTCCGCTAGCCTCACTCCCCGAATCGAGCTTCATTGGCGAAACCCTAGCTCTATTTTTACCAATGCTGCCTTTGGAAACCCTAGCTCTAGCTTCCTCGGGCTCTCCAGTGGCATCTGATTTTCCATCCAATCCCAAATCGCTGTTCATCACAAAGATCTCCTTCTCTAAACCAACTGCGATTTGAATCCTTTGGAAGCTCTAGACGAACGGAGTTGGCGGATCCCAATGAGGCGGCATACCTTTCTATTGCCTTATGTTGAAGATTTGAAGATGAAATTTTTTCCCAGAAAGCATGAGAAAGTGTGGGATATAAGGGATACAAATAAAACCCAGGAGAGAGAGAGGGAAAAACAAAGGGTGTTTGGATGGTAGGAAAATTTGTTGGGAAATTTGTGATTTTTTTTTTTTTGTGGTTTGATTTGAGGTGGGTGGGTGGGTGTGCGAGGTGCGTGGGTGCAGAGGAGAGAAGGGAGAGAAAAGAAGGGGAATGGGTGGGTGTGCGAGGAGAATGGGTGCAGGGAAGAGAAGGGATGGGGAATAGGTGGGTGCCCAGAATTTTTTTTTTTAATTTTTTGTAATATTTTAATATTCATGTGGGCCCCATATTAACACGTGGCGCCTAGTTATTGTCCACGTGAGCATCATATCATCAGTTAACGACTGATTTAATAGCCAAATTAACGGATGTATGAGACTGTCCTAAAATTAACACTTTAGGTATGACTTTGGGATAAAAAAAACTTCATATACCAAATGTTGAAACCCACGAAACTTAAGGGTAGTAAACTAAGATTTACCCTATAATTTATTTTCAATTCCTTAAATTAAATTATAAGTCAAAGTGAGTAAAATGGTCCACACATCAAATTTTAAATGGAAGTATCATAGACAACGTGGTAGAACAGTACCACAAAATTAAATAATTATCCTAGCTTTGGCTCCACTTTTGTTTTTAAGTGCTCCGTCCCTAATAAAAGGGGTCATTTATTAATAGTAGTGTATGTGAAAACATAAATTAACTACATCTAATAAGAGAAGAACACATGAACTACATGCGTAATATGACAGTTTTATCCTTGACTTCATAAGCAGACCACATATTACCTTAAGAAAATAAGACTTGAGTTTGCCCTTAGGTAATGGGCCTTTGGCCCGCCAATAGATTATGGGCTCTCCGAATCACCCATGACATGTATTATGGGCTCTCCAGGATGCCCATAATATGTTCTATCATTGGGTCATACCCAATTCAATGGTGTCAGGAAGCCAACTCTTTGAAGTCTCCCTTTGAGTGTCATGCACGACAACACACTTACCAATAGGGACCTTCAAGGCTACTAGATGACAGGATTGCAGAGACTAGCCTACATCATTAAGGACTGTAAAATGTAAACATACTTGGGCAACATGTAAGCAGAGAAAGACCTTAGAAAAAGGAAATTGAGAATTAATCATGTAGGACTTCATCCATCCAACTTGTACATAGGAGCAAGGTATTAAATATCGATGATATCGAAAATATCAGTAGTCCAAAAACACGGAAATTTCGATGGAAATATCGGGATATTATCGATATCGATAAAAATTGAATAAAAACTACGGAAATTGTAAGAAAAACTTGGAAATTTTTATTGAAACTTTGCAGGATGTTTATTTAGTCAATTATCTATTAGTTTATCACAAAAAATTGGAAGGAAATGCATTGCATGATAAATATAACTGATTTAAGTTGATTATATAGCAAGCTGGCAAATATTATGAGTGTAGAAAATATGTAGTGATCGGATCATATTTATATATATTTTTACTTCGAATTCACTCGTCTTTTCTTAGTTAGTTCCTTATATTTTGAGCTATTTACGTTATTTTTGTGTTTATAGGATCTGTTATGCAAATTTACCTTTTATTGTCACATGATAATACTAATGTACATTTTATAAACAAGTTATTATTACAATTTCAGAATGGTAAGAGTTCTTCCCAATAAATTTATATGCCTCATGGGACGTGAAGCTGCCGAGTAAGTCAGGAATTAATCATCTTCCCCATATGATTATCGTCGACTTTTCCCACATGTTTCCAATCATAACTTTGGCTTCACATGCTGATAATGTCATATTAACAACCCCATTGCAACCACCATCCAATTGCCAAAGCGTGCAAAGATTCCAAAGGGGAGGTAGGCTGCTTTGGCAGCCGGGAAGAAAAAGAAAATAAAATAGAAAAAGCAGCAAAAATTGAGGAGTCCACACGGTAGTGCGCAAGAAGTGGAGAAAAGAAAAATAATAAAGAATAGAGAGAAGTGGGAGGTCAGGGACACGACATAATTGAGAAGGAAAATGAGCTGCTTTGGCAGCTGGAGGGAGTCAGAGACGGACCAGAAAGGAATAAGAGAATAAAAGAAGCGTGAGGGAGGTGAGCAGGA